GGGCTGGTATTTGGGGATTTTGGATGCTAAACTATCCTTCCTTACTGCTACTTAAGAGTCCTTTGCAGGGGTTTTTTGAGGGATGATTTGGGATTTGTTTATGGTGAGTCTCTAGAGCTGGTTTCTGCTTTTTAAAGCTAGATAAGCACAGGGCAACATTTTGCTTTTAATGATATAAATAGGTTATTGTGGAGTTGCTGCAATCTCTGTGTACCTGTGTGCAAAGTGCCTCACACCTGTGTGCTGCACCAGCCACCAGATTTCCATGTAAAGCAGGACTGCTCCTTTTGTGCCTCTCACAGGCAGAATTTAATTCACCGACACGGCACAGTAACTCCTTCTATCCATTTTAATGGTCCAGTGAAATTCTGTTAGCAAAAGACCTAATGAATGTTGTGATTCAATCAGGGCAATCTAGAGTGTAATGCGTGGAGCCGTGCCAGCATTATATAAATCATTAAACATCAAAATGCAAAAAAAAAAATAAAATTCCCTAATCATCATCTAACTCCAGGAGCTGCTGGAATGGCTGGGGCTGGAGGCAGCTGGGGCCAGCATGGGTGCCTGGCTGGGATGGGACAGTGGCTCACCAGCCTGGTTCCTGTTCTTGCCTGTTGGCATTTTTGGATACACAGATGCTCCAGCATGGAGAGGGTTGTTTGTGTGCTCTGCAGTCCCCCCAGGCCCTTGCAAGTCCTAGAGGGGGAGGCATTTATTTCTTAAAGGGATGCTTTAAATAAAATGAGGGAGAACAGTCATTACAGAGACGTTTTCTGTAGGCAGATGAATTTTCTGCTCCAACTTAATTTACATTGTAAGGGAACTGCATTTCTTCTTGCTCTTTTGGCTTTGGGAGTTCGTGCAACAGCGGTCAAAAGGTGCAGTTATGCTCTAGAAGCCAAGATTTTGTAGAGATAAACAGTTTAGAGGTTTGAGGGTTGTTTTTAGTTTTTAAACCAAGTCTCTTGAAAGTCTTCCTAATGAGAAGCAAGTCCAGCTAGCAAAGACTGTGTGTTTGCTTTTGAAAAGATTGAAATGGAGGGAAATCTCTGGCGTTAGCCATGGGTCCACTCTGCTGGGAGAGGTTATCAGCAGAGAACAAAACCAAAAGTAATTGGAACTGAAATATGGACGTGCTTAAAATGCACTGCAGACTCTCTGGGAGGTTGGAGTGTGATTGGAAAGACGAATGCAAAATACAGAATTATAACATTCCTGACTCTGTGTGTGATAGTATGTATGTGTGTGTGTGTATATATATGTGTGTGTGTGTGTATGGATGACTGTGAGATTTCAGGGTGGGGGTTTTATTGGCACTGGTCTGATTTTATTTCTGTCTCCTGGTTTAGGATCAGATTATTTTGCTTTCACTCAGAAACTGAAAATGGATGTGGATGCAGTTGTCCCAGCCCTCACCTCTGCTAGCAAACATAGTTTGCACTTAAGAGTCACTTGAATAAGAATGAAGACACAGAATTCTCCATAGTGGAGAAATACTTTTAATTGAGGGATTGTTATCTTAGATGGGTAAATCCTGTGGGGAGGCTGCAGGAGCTCAGCTCTGTGGGACACCCACAGGCTCCTGGGGAGCAGCCCATAACCCCCTCCAGCCTGTGCCCATCCCTTGCACGCTGCTGCATCCCAGATGCTGAGCAGTCACAGGATGTTCTGGCTTGGAAGACACCCACTAAGATCACCAAAGTCCAGCTCACGAAAGGGCCTGTTCAAGCCATCCCTGCCTTTTGCTTCCCCAGTGGTTTGTGCTCAGCAAACCCAGCCCAGGTTTCTCAGCTAAACCACAAAGCCTGTCAACTGTGTCCGGGCACAGCCATGCAGGAGAGGGGTGTGGGGAGACATTGGTCAGTGAGTGATGCTCAGCTGGACACTCCTGTGGCCACTGTCCCTCAGCCTGGGGCTGCTCCCCCTCCAGGATCCCCTCTGGGAACTCTGCAGTGGGCATGGCATGGACAGATGGTGGCTGGCACTCAGCTGTGCCCAGCGCTGCCTCCCTGCCCTGCTGAGCACTGGCTTGTATGAGGATGCCTGATTCCCACTTGGAGCCTCACAGCCAGCCTGCTTCTAAAAACAGATTGTGAGAAACCATTGTGTGCAGATATGGGCCCTGGCAAGGTGAGAAATGAGTTCTTTGCTCATGTGTGCTGCAAGTTTGAGAGGGTTTTGGTCTCCCAGGTCAGTCCTGCAGCCTGTCACCTAAGACTGACTTTCTTTCTTAAACCAGTATATTTTAAGCCCAAGGCAATGTGTTATCTCTCAAGAAAAAATAAGCTAAATATTTAATTTTGTTAGATATAGCTAGGAGTTTTTGTCCTGCAGTGCTTGAGTCTAGGGATATTTTAAGAGCTCTGTTATCTTGTGCTGGGAGGGAATACAATAAATATGTAGATAGGGAGTGCTGCTGGTTTAAAAGGTATGTAAAGGGTCTGTGCTGAACTGACACTAGCTGAAAAATTTGTTCAGCCTAATTAGCAGCAAATCACTTCTGTGACCAACCTTGCTTGTGGAGATGGGAGCCAATCCCCCCCTCCTTATCCTCTGCTGCCCTTCGTGGGTTTTCAGAGCCCTCCCTGGCTCAGAGGTGAAGGTTTTTGTGAGGACACAGATCTGCAGCCACATGTCATTGCAGGCCAACAAGTGCAAAATTACTGGAAATTCATGGGAAACTGTACACCCATCTCAGGCTTTGTCTAGGATTGTTCAGGCTGTCATCAGAACCAGTCACGATCGATCAGCTTTTAAATTTAATGAAATTTTAATTAAAGAATGGAAAGCCTACGAAGACATCATATGACAAGAGAGCTGGAAGCAAATACAATTTCACTTCCAACCATTAACCAGAAAAGCAGCAAATGGTTGACTGCACATCACCATTGCAGTCTAAGGAAAGTACAGCTCTTGGCTTCGGCGGGCAGGTCATTAGTGACTGAATAATCAGTGACATTTCCCTTCTAAATCTGACACAAATGAAGTGCAGTGCTCTGGAAAAAGCCATTAAGTGCAAAGCCTCGCCTTTACTCTGCTCCAGGTATTGCAGAACAAGATCTAATGGCAGCCTTTAGCTGTGATTTGGCTTTGATAGCATCCACAGGATAGGAACCCCCAGGATGCCAAGAGCCAAATGCTTCCAGCCTTGCATGAGCCATCGTGTTGTGCAAAAACAGAAAGTGAGACTTGTTCTTTGCTTGTGTTCCCAGATGCAGTCAGTAAAAGATACAATAGGAAAACCTATAATGTGGGGCATTGGGAAGCTGAATGTAGCTGTATTCTTATGTCTGAGAGGCAGCAGCAGGTAAAGGTCTCACTCATCGTGGGAGGAGTTTTTAAAGCCTGACATCCTCCTGAGAATTCCTGTGGCAGCTCTCAAAGCTGGGTGTTAACTTGTTTTTCTGCATATTTGAAAATGTTTTTTCGATGGGAGTGGAAAGCGAGCAGCACTGCACAGGAAAAAGGAAGGACTGGTCTTGTTTATGTCTCTGCCTTGAATTTCTCTGAATAACGTGTTGTCAGATGGACCAGTCATCAAATGGGTGTAACTTCCTCTGCTCCCTCCCCGTGTGCCATGGCTTTGAAAATAATGTCAAAAGGTTAATAGGAGCCAGACTGCCTTGGGGGGGTCCCTTGTGCTGAAGGAGTGAGTGTTTAAGGAGGTTTTTCTTGGGGGAAAGACTGAATAGGGGAAACTTTTTCTAGGCAAAAGCATTACCAGTACCTGGACTGGGAAGCACTGTTGTCTTGGAAACTCTGCACTGAGGCTGGATATGTCTGATTTTCAAAATTCCTTTTACTTTTTCTTCATGGAACCCGAAATAGAAGATTTTTTATGCAGTCAATGTATCTTTTTCAATTGCTTTGATTTATATTTAGCCCTGTGTTGTGAAGTTCCAGTGCAGTATTTTTGATCATTAACTCTCCTAGTCGTGTTTGGGTTAAGAGTCTACTATTCAGTGGATAAATCTACTTTGGGTATAGTCTTGTGAGTTATAATCTTACTGAAAACAAATGAATAACCACAGATAAAAGTGTATTTTTAATGAGTAGTTTCATTAATAATGGGAAAAAATGTCCCAGGAAGGTTCATTAGTGGCTCACTGATTCCACTCCCAGCTGTTGTATAGTTAGTTCTGACTGAAAGGTCTTGATAGTTTTATTGCTCTGTTTACAGAGCATGGGATAAGATGTTGTTTCAAAACAGAAAGCTCTGTTACCCTACCAGAAGAGGTTTTTTATACATTTATGGTGCATACTAAAGGTATGTGCCCAAACACTTGAATTCATATAAGCATGCAGGCAGTTGTTGCTATGTGATTTTCTTTATTCTGATGTGTTTTGGAGAGGTTAGAGTCCTGAAATCTCTTTTGGCTGTTAAAATTTGGGGTTCTCTTCCAAATCTGGAGGAGGTGCTGTCTGCACCCTTGTCTCACTGCAGGGCAGCATCCTCCCTTGCCAACATCTCTCTTTCCATCACTCGGGATCTTCCAGGAGGTGGTTGTATTTGTGTGTCCAAAGAAGGGAAAACAAGCTGGGGAAGGTTCAACCTGTAGAAAAAGATAGATTGGTTATTAGGAAAAAATCCTTCAGGTGAAACCAGCCAATCATTTACACAAGGTGTCCAGGGAAGTGGTGAAATCACCATCCCTGAAGAGATATAAATGATGTGTAGATGTGGCACTTGGGAATGTGGTTTAGTGGTGGTCATGGCATTGCTGGGTTAATGGTTGGACTCAATGATCTTAGAGGTTTTTTCCAGCCCAAACTGTTCTATGATTCTATTTCTACATGACCCAGAAACCCAAGCTGAAAGAGGAAAAATGGAAGTAGCTTTATTATTGAAGTTCTGAACTTAAACTCCCCTCCCCGTGACCCTTTTGCCAATGGGTGCATGCTGGACCACAGCTCCCTAAATCCATAATTTAAGGAGTGGGGAGGCAAGGGAGGTATGAGTGAAACCCAGGACTGAGCTTCTCCCTCTGCTCCATCCTCAGGTGACATTGTGGACATCTACCAGCGGGAGTTCCTGGCGCTCAGGGACCGGCTGCACACGGCCGAGCAGGAGAGCCTGAAGCGCTCCAAGGAGCTCAACCTGGTCCTGGAGGAGATCAAGAGAGCCCTGTCGGAGAAGCAGGCCCTGAGGGACATAAACCGGACCTGGAGCAGCTTATCTGGTGAATAAACAGGCCTTGAGCACCTGGGGCAGTGTTGGAGCTGTTTCTGATGAGGAAGTAGAGAGGTGTGTGTGTGCGCAGGGCTGCGGACAGGACCTGCTCTTCTCTCCCCCAGCACGAGCAAATTATGGAGTTCAGAGAGACTTGGGAGCTCTTCAACTCCTGTTTAATTAGAGGTGCATAAGCATCATTAAACACGGATTTGCCTCTGCCGAGGATATTTGCCAATTTGCTTGCTTACAAGCTTTTTTTTCTCCCTTGCAAGTCATACACTCTGTTTCCTATGGCTGTATTCAACCCATATGGAAAATGGGTATCCAAAGAGAGGGGGGAGGAAGGAGTTAGGCTGGCTGAGCACCCCTCACCAATTTGTTTGTTCTTTTTTTTTTTTAAGTTGCTCCGTTGAAGAAAATTGGATCTCAACAGAAAGATCTGATTTGACCTTCATTTTATCTTCATTCTCCCCTCTCCTTCCCAAATATTTTGGGACTTCTTTAAGGCCCTCCTGGCTCCTGCTGAACTTTATTTGGGTTTGTGGTAGCATGTTAAAGGTTGGCCTGATTTTTTTATAACCCAGCAGTAGTCTTGGGTGGCCAGGCTGCTGTAAAAAGGCTTTTTGCCTTGCAGTCTCTTCCTACCTACCGTGCCTTGCAATTGATTCCCTTTTCCTTTTTAAGACGAAACCAAGTTAAAACTGTGGAATATCACCAACAAGAATGTGCTGCACCTTCCCACCATCTTCCATCATTTGCCACATTTGCTGTCAAAGGAGAACAGTCTGCAGCCAGCCGTGCATGTGGGACAGGGGCGCACTGGAGGTAAATGGGAATTAGTGCTGCTTCTGGTGCTCTTCCTCACCTTGGTGCCTGTCCCTCCCCTTTCCTCCGGGCCTGCCTGTGACACAGAGACCAGCAGGACTGGAGGAAGGGGTGCATGCATCATGCAAGCTTCCTTGGTTATGGTGACATGTGGGGTGGGTGAGCCATGTCACGCCTGCAAGTCTACAGGGGAGTGCTGTCTGTGCTCTTGACTGGCCCTAAAATGTTCTTGATGCTTCTGCCAGATGTTGTTTGCTGCTTTCCATATCCAGAGTGCTCTAGACTTTGCCTGGAAGGGCTTCAGATGAAAGCATAGTTTGTAGGGTGCTTCATGGAGACTGTAATCAAACTAAGGAGACAAATCCCATTGGTAACAGGACTTTGGTTACTTGATGATTCCTCCTGCTCCCAACACCAAAGACCTGACTTGCACCTGCTAAACTGGAGTGCTTTTGGCCATGGGAGGGGTTTGGAGAGCAAGAGGTGGTCTTCAAGTTGCTGTCCACAAGTTGAAAAGGCCCCTGGGAGGGGGAGGGATTTGTGGTGTTTCCTTAGAGATCACTCTTTCAGGGACAAAGAGCAGAGCTTATCTGAGTGCCTGTGGCTGCCCTGCCAGCCCAGCACGATGGGTGCTGCTGGCACTGGGCTGAGGACAGGAGTGTGGGAGCCCTGCATAGCCCAGGAACCCACCAACCTGCTGCTCACTGCTGGTTTTTAATGGCAGAGCCTGGCACTGACCAGGTGACTGTCATGGGAGCAGAGCAAAGTGTCCAACACAGCCCCTCTCTAAAATCTCTCCGTGGCCCTGGACAGTGTCCGTCGTGATGGGAATCCCCAGCGTGAAGCGGGAGGTGCATTCCTACCTCACCGACACCCTCAACTCCCTCATCTCAGAGCTCACTCAGCAGGAGAAGGAGGACTCTGTCATCGTTGTCCTCATTGCTGAGGTAAGACAGAGCTTTGCCAGTTTGCCCCCTTTCCCTGCCCCATCCTGCTCTCTGCCAGACTTGGTGCCAAACAGGGTGCTGCCCACCCGGACACCAGCTCTGCCACTTGCTGGGTAGATAAGCCTGGCCTTGGGCTGCCATCCAGTGGGATTGGCAGGTGTGTCTTGCCCAAAATGAGATGCTGGTTGGGCCAGAGAGGATCAGGATGTGAACAGGCAAACATGTCCTGTTAGCAGCTACAGGTGTGGCACAGCTCACCTAAACCATGATGCCTCCTGCAGGGCAATTGAATCCACAAAATGAGCTGGAGCAGCCCCATGAGCAGGAGAACTCTCAGACCTGCTCCTGCAGCAGCTCTGTTTCTCCACATACCTGTAACACAGCACTAAGCCCCTCTTGAAACCCAAGAGTTGGTAATTTGGGGTTGAGACTGATAATGCCTCTTGGTATTGGTGCCTGGAGCCCCGAGTCAGTTGCTGAATCCAAGGGCTAAAAAACCTTGATACATTAATCCACAAGAGCTGCTTTTATCTATGGGTTTAGGTGGTTATTTTTCTCCATGGCTTTCCTCTCAGGATTATTTTCTTGAGCCTGAAGTGCATTTGTCTTAATTTCCAGAAATCTGGTGAGAAAGATAAACCTCAGTAGCCTGTTACTGGGAGCGGAACAAAGATGAATGTCCGGGTTTGCTGCCTGTTTACCCATAATTTGACATTTTGAGTAGCATTTGGCCTTCAGGGCTCTGGCTGGTATTTTGTACAGAGAGAAGGTGTGCACAGATGGGTGCAGCCCAAGGGCCCAGGACAGAGTTTGGTCCTGGCTGTCATTTGTCTCCCTTGGAGCCAGGACAAGTTTGGTGACTGTTTTTGCAGTGAGTAAGTTGAAGTCTGAGAGGTTTTGAGACCTAGACCAGCTCCTGTTTTGTACTACAGTAATACTACTTTAGTTGACTTAAAAATGAGGTGCATGCTGTGATGGCAGCTCCTGATTTTCAGGATGTAGCTATGATGAGCAAAGTGAACAACAAATAAAGTTGTTGCAGATTCCTTTGGCCAGGTTTGGTCTTGGAGCTGCACAAGATCCTTCTGTGGAAGTGTCTGCCACTGCTGTGCCTGCTCTGCCTCTTCCCAAAGTGTTTCTCCGTGTACCTGCACTTGAAAGAGCTCCTTGGGATAAAGAGTGAATAGAGGAGAGGGTGGAAGCTGAAGCAAATGCTGAGTAATTTGGAGACTCAGCACGAGTGCAGCAACTGAGTGTCCTTTCTGAGATAGGGACTTCTCATTCCCAAGTGTCACTGCTGGCCACTGCAGGTGTCACCCACAGTGCTGGGCTGCCTGGGGGTGCAGGGGCTTCCTTGGCTGCCTGAGGGGAGTCCTGGGGTGAGATGGCTGGCTTGGCTGTCACCAGCCCCCTGCTTCAGACACTTGGAGTGGAGCTGCATGGTTCCTGCCAAGGCCAGGAGCATCTTTCCTGCTTTTGTTTTTCCCATTGCTGTTTTCTTGGCACGCTGAGGTAAGAAATCAGTCCAGCACCGGGACTCCAAGCCCTGTTTAGGAAAGGGACCTTTTCCTCTCGAGAAAACCCTCCCTTGTCTGTGTGCCAGCACAGAAGTGCTGTGCTCAGCCTGTGACACACATCCCGGTGTCTCATTCTCACCTCGCCCGGCAGCAGCTGCTCCCGGCTTCTGTGGTGCTGCACTGGCAGATCCCCCCAGGACGTGCAGCCTCATGGTCCCTATTGCTGCTCAAACCAGTGCCACCACCAGCAAAAGGAACAGATTCTGCTCCTGGATCCCTGCCCTTTGTTCAGGGGTTTTGTTTCCCTGTCATTGTGCAGATGGTTTCTGTCCAGTGCCTGTCCCTGTACCTCACCCGCAGACAGCAGCGAGCGGCGCTGGCCACCTTTGTCTCCCAAATGTTGTGGGTTGCCACACTGATTGTGGGAACAAACTGGGGCTTTAGGGAGAAAAGTGTCAAAATTAACCTAAAATGAAAAAGTTATAAATAGACCCCTCTTTTTCACCAAAGGGTACAGAGGATTCTCTGCCAAGAATATTCTCTTGGATGCAGGCCAGCCTGTGTAGGGAAAAAATAAATAACCCAGAGGTTAAAACTTGTGCAAACACTTGGTGCTGGCAGGGACAGAAGTGCCAGGAGAGCACATGGGAAAGATGTGCAGGGTCTTGTGTCCTTTGGGATGGATTTTGGTGTGTGATGCCTTTGGTTAACACTGACCACAGAGGAGGGCTCCTGGGAGCCTGCCAGCGTGAGAGCAGTAAAGCTGGATAAAAGGAGACATGAAGGTGAATAAAGATGATACAGATGTACTGACAGTACCCTGGGGTGTGTTGAAGAAGATTTCTGAGCCATGGGGGACACAGGCTGAGGCTGAGGGGTCTAACACTGCTTTTCTTTTGTTTTCAGACAGATCCACAGTACACAGCCGGAGTGGCAGAAAATATCAAAAACTTGTAAGCACTTCCAAGTAGCTTCAGTGTACAGCCTGTGCCTGCAGCAAGGCCAGGGAACGGCTTCGTTAAGGAGAAACACACTTTTCTGCTTCCCTTTTGTATTTTGTTGTTGTTGCTTGGGGTTGTTTCCTCTTTTTAGACTTTGTGCTGTCTTTGCTAATGCTGCTTCCACTTTCTGCTTGTTCTGAAATGCATCCCGTATGTAGCTTCCAGGAGGCTGCTTTGTGCTCGAAGTATTTAACACACGTGGTCGTTTCGCTCTGTTTTGCTCCTTCTGCCCTGGGGCATTGTGAGGAGATGGATTGTTTATATTTACAGCTATCCTGGCGTTGTCTCAGTGTCTGCTGCAGCCCTGTACTTGCTCTGTGCAGTCTGGGCAGTGTAGTAAGCACACACGAATGCTCCTGCCTTATTTCGCTTTAAAATCCGTGATCCATCTTTCTTCCCACTCCAGCCTGTTTGTTTTCCCCTTGTTCCAGGCTCTAGTTACATTTGTCTCTGGTGCTGGCTGCTATTTATGTCCTGCAGCCTCAGTGGCTTTTGCAGCTTAGGCTGTGGCTGTTTGAGCAGAAGCTGGTGATGGATTATTAACAATTATTAACAATTATTAACAATTATTAACCGTGAGCCGCTCCGGGCGCTCACGGCAGGAGAGCTGGGAGGCAAAGGGAGAGGAAAGGTGGGGGAGAAGGGGCGGTGACTCCGCTCCGGCTCCTGCGGCTGCTCCTTGCCGAGGGATCGCAGCGGCCGCAGGAGAAGAGAAAGGGCAGCGCATCCCGGCAGCGCCCCTTGTCCCCGAGCCAATGGTGGCAGCACGGGGGCTGGGACCTGCCCTGTGCTCCCGGGCACTTGCCGGAGCGCTGGAACAGAGCCCTCCATCTTGCAGTGCGGGAGCTGGCAGGGCTCCCCTCCGGAGCCCGCGGGCAGCAGGACGCGCTCGCCGCGGGATAATGGACTGATTGTCCGATGGCTCCTGATGAAATTACCGGGCGCTGCTGCGGAGAGTGCCTCTGCCTGCAAGTCCTGAAACTTTAATTGGCTTAATGGCTTGATTTCTCATCATCCCCCTCTCCAGTGCCTCCTGCCCCTCCCTGAGCCACTGAAATTATTTTTCTTCCTAATAGAATTGAGGTGGTGTGGGGCCAGGGCAGGCTGGGCTTCTCGCAGGAGGGAGGAAGCTGCTGCTGCTTTGCTGCGATGTTTTGTCAGCTCAGTGAGAAGCTGCTCTTTCACTGCTGCCTGGAGAAGGCAAGATTTTAAAATATTAGCTGAAAGACCTGCCAGTCCCAAGGAAGGAATAAGGAAGGGAAAAAGGAGTGAGAAGTTTTTGGCAGTGTCGCTGCTTTGTCTCCCTTTGCCCCATCTCCCGTCCTCCAGGCTCTGCACAAACAAAGGAAATCAGCCTTGCACCAAATGTTCTCAAAAAGGCAGGGTAAAAATAACAGGTTTTCCTACTTATCTCTCACAGTTAGAGCAGTCCCGGGGTATTGCTTGCAAGGCTGATGTAGGTGCCTGCTTCTCAGATGGGTGACATTATTTTCTGTTGGAGTTCAACTCTTTAAAGGTTTCTTAGCCACATTATAAGAAAAGTAGATGCTGATTTTATCAGCATAAGAGAGCTAGGTAGACTTCCTGCTGGCTCTCTACAGCACAGTAGTGTTTTAAGGAACTTAGCAGAAATGTATAGCACAACCTCGGCAAAATTAATTTTAATTACCAATGCATTTGGAAAATCTCTAAATGCCTGTAGTGCCAAGTCCTTTCTTTGCTGAACCAGTTTGGAGGTCATTTAATCCTGTAAAGAGTACATGGTGCTCAGGGCTGGCCTTTAAAGCTGACCTGTGTGTGTGTGCAGGAGAGAGGAGGATGCTGGTGGGGAGCATATGCACGTGGGGCTATTAGAGACTGTGGGAGGTAGAAGACAACTTAAAAAGTCCATGCCAAGCCCTGCTGATGACTTCTGATGAGGCTTGAAAGTGCGCTAGACACCAGGGAAGTTCTACCTTAGAGGCTGTGTTTTTTGTTAGGTTCTGTGGCTCAGTGTTTACCCAGCGATTTGGTCTAAGAAATGTTGTGTCAGACGTGGGGTATTTATTTACTGCTGCTTTTCTCCCTCAGATTCCCGAAGGAAATACACTCAGGTCTCCTGGAGGTAATTTCCCCATCTCCACATTTCTATCCTGATTTCTCCCACCTGCGGGAATCCTTTGGAGACCCCAAGGAAAGAGTCAGGTAAGAATGAGTGACCTTACAAACAATCAAGTCCTGAATTAAGGAGCTATAGGAAGTTCCTCTCTGACTCCAGCAGGGAAGGCTCTTCTGCAGGGCCAGACAAGGACTTTAAACTTGAATTACCCAAGATCTGGAGGGACACAATTTGGTGACAGGGGGATGAACTGGCACCAGCTTTGCCAGGCTTGGCAAAAGCCTTATGGTGTTTCCATCACGAAGTGAGGAGCTCATTTGAACCCAAATTATCTTCATTTTGGAAGTCCTTGAGATTTCCAGTGACTCTTAGCTGACCAGGGACCAAAGGGAGAGGCCATTCCCAGGGCTGTGCCACCTTCCCATCTGCAGCCCAGCCTGGGCAGGCTCCTGGAGCAGCCACCATCCCAGCAGACACTGATGCTCCCATTGTCTTTGTCTTTGCAGGTGGAGGACAAAGCAGAACCTGGACTACTGCTTTTTAATGATGTATGCCCAGTCCAAAGGCATTTATTATGTGCAGGTGGGTTTGGTGCTGGTGCTGGAGGGAAGATGGATGTACCTGTGAGTTCACTGTACTGGCTTGTACCAGCTGAGAGAGAGCAAAGGGCATATCCAATTCTGTGATGCAGCAGAGTGGGAGAAGGTTTTAACCACATAGGTTCAAAAGCTGGGTTTTTAAAATACTTTTAGACTTGGAAATATCCCACTAAGGAAAGACAGAAGTCCTTGTTTCTATTACCTGTTAGACTGAGTGAAAAGAAATTGCTTGGAGCACCTTCCAGAATAAACTGGGTCTGTGCCAAAGCTCTGGTCTATGGTGTGATTGCTCTGCATAGAGAGAGGTTGCTGGGACCTGGATGGGACATTGGCACTGTGCCCTTTTGTCTTGCAGCTGGAGGATGACATTGTGGCCAAACCAAACTATCTCAGCACGATGAAGAACTTTGCCTTGCAGCAGCCCTCTGAAGAGTGGATGATCCTGGAGTTCTCTCAGCTGGGGTTCATTGGTAACGTCCTCTCCCACTCACCCCAGTCCTATCAGGCACAAGGCACAAGAGCCTGCTTGCTCTTGCCAGCACTACATTCTTGGCCCAAGAAATTGTCCCCACAAGATGGTAAAATACTTGGACTTGATCCCCTCCTATTTTTGCAGTGACCCTTGTGTTTGCACAGGGGAGAAAGATCCTCACAGCTGGTACTGCTGATGCTCACTTTAAGTAAAAATAAACCTGGTGAGTGGCCCAGCCAACAGCCAAACAGCTTAGATAGGGCCAGTAGCTTTTAGGCTGGATGGGATCTGGATTTGCCTAAGAGTGTGCAAAAGGAAGTTTGCATCAGCCCAGAACTATTTTGGGAACAGCAGTACATGGTTGCAGTAGCAGCTTGATCTGTTATTTTGGATACTGGTTTGATTGGCTTAAAACTTGTAGTTCTCAGGGCAGGAAATGGTCCGTCCTGCAGCTGGCTGCATTTTTCATCCTTGTTTCTCTTTACTGAATGGGAGAGTTTTAGACCTTTTGATACTGTTGTGACCTGTGAGACTCTAATGCTTTCTAATTCTGCAACAAATATTAAATCCGGAACTGTATTAGCAATGTCAGCAGTGCTGGTACATAAACAGGAGCCACGTGTTGTTTCCTTTACACAGATAGACACAGCTAACCCCCACAGCCCAGTCTCCTAATTTTACTTTCACAGCTCTGATTCTAAACCATTTCATACCATAGCTCCTCTCCCTCCCTTTGTGCTCTAGGAAAAATGTTCAAGTCTCTGGATCTGAGCTTGATTGTGGAGTTCATCCTGATGTTCTATAAGGACAAACCCATTGACTGGCTGCTGGATCACATCCTCTGGGTGAAAGTCTGCAACCCTGAGAAAGATGCAGTACGTAAACAGCCTCTGTTGAAGGGAAATGTTCTGTTGTGTGTGGGCAAATGTACACTTGGCTGTGCCTTCAGAGGATATTTTCTGTGAGCTCTGGTGCTAACTGACTTTGCACCGAGCTGTGCCATCCCTGGGGAGCGTGCTGCAGGGTGTCCTTGTGGATTGCGAAAGTGGAGACCTGGGAGTTCAGGCTTTTGTAGCTGCAGCTGCCAGGAAAGGCATCATTTCTGCATCTAAGCACTAATAGGGCATTCCTCCTGCAGCCCTCGAGGACAGGAGTTATTCCCCATCCTTCTGTGTTGTTCTGCATTCTGTGCTTCTCTCCCTGAAGCCGTTTCCCACTCGCTGACTGCAACCCCAGAGTGACCCTTTGACTCTGGATCCCTGGGCTGTACCTGCTGGAGCACACAGGGAGACTGCCCAGAGAGCTCACCCGAGAGCAAACCCTCCTTGCACAGTCTGCCAGAATGAAGGCAGATCACACAAAGCTCTTGTCAGGGTTTCCAGGAGGGTGCAGAGAGGTGAAATGGGCTCTGCTTTTGTGCTGCCATTCCTTTTGCAGAGCCAAAAGCCCCCGTGCCCTGTGGAGGTTGTGTTTGAACTCCAGCAGCAAGGGGCTAAAGCGAGTGGGAAGGGCAGAGGAGGAGTGTCTGTGGCAGCAGATGTAAGATGAGCTCAGCGCCAGATACTCTCCTGTCTTCTCTCTGAACATACTGTATTTACAAATGCTTGCTTGCCCTCCTCCCCAGTCGAGAACAAGCAGCAGAGTCGCTGTGCAGAGCTCAGAGCCAGTGACTTAGAACAAACTTCATGGTGACAACCATGTTGTGGTGATAAATGCCAGAGCAAGTGGTCACTCTGGAAATTAGTATTGTATTTATGTGCTGGGGGGATGGACCATCCTCAGAGCTCTGCAGAACTGGGGCAAGGGTGTGGTTTAATTTGGCCTGATCCCTGGCACAGGACATGGCATTGGCTCCAGTGCTCCTTGTGCAGCAGGACCAGTCCCAGATAATGTCCCCTGAATCCTGCTGGCAGTTCAGGCCATGTGCTCAGCTGGGACAGAGCACTCCCCAGGACTGACTGACAACCCCACAGCCTGCACAGCTGTGGGTAAAGCTGGATGGGTGGGATGCTGGGATGGAGCTGGGAATGATGCTGCTGTCTGTGCCCCCACCTTCAAAATCCTCAGCTTGAGCACTGATTAAATGCAGATCCTGCTGCGCTGGATCATCTTCTCCTTAACTCATCTGTGCTCATCTTTTCCTACCTGATGGAACCAAGGTTTTCTCAGGGGAAATCGCAAACCTCTTAAACATGTTGCCTTTTTAAAAATTAACCTACTTTCCATGTGGATTTCTGGCTCCTTTCCCCCACTGTTTGCATGATTAACTCTGCACAGTGCCCTTTCAAACATGACTTTCTCTTGTAAATCCCACTGTGCAAAATCAAATTGGTAGCAGGGAGGATTTGTCTTTTTGATTGAAAGTTTGTTTGACCTGAGCTTTTGGTAAGTGCTTTGCCTGCTCTGGGTATATTCTGCTCTTTCTTTTTAAACTAATTTTAGATTTACCTGGGGTAGACCTGTGTGAAAGGATGACCTTCTTACCACCAGCTGAGCTGTTCCCCCTCCTGGCTTGTCTGTGACAAGGCTGCTTTCAGGAAACGTTTCTTTAGGAGTGCAGGAAAAGGGGAGAAGGATAAATCAGGAGATGCTGTAGCTGCCTCCATTCCCCTTCCTCCTCCTCTCCCCATCCAGAGTGAGCTAGCCATGATGGAGTTGCATCCACAGTTGCTGGCAGTGAGTAGGTCTGTCCCATTAGCATGGCTAGTTTTAATTTTCTAATGTAACGTGAGCTGGATTAGGGGATTATCTCTTTTGCAGCTCGCAGGGGTCATGCCTGGAATTTCCCAGCTCCTGGCCCGTGGTGGGGCCTGGTGTGGCACCCAGTCTGTTCAGGCAGCCACTGCCAGGTGGGAGGCTGCAAGAGCAGATGGCATTAGGGATGTGCATGCATTTCTTTTCTTGGAAAAAGCCAAAGTTGGATAACAAATACCCTCTCCATACAGCTTTTAACCTGTATTTTTGTCCTGCTCCCCCAAACTGAGAGAAATGAGCTATTTTAAAATGTGAGTTCTCATCTCCCCACGCTCTCAGTGATTTTCCCTTTTGTCCTGTATTCCCTCTCCATCGTCTCTCTCCCTCCACTCCATGGTAAATCACTGCCAGGATCACAGTTGCATCTCCAAGTTTATTTATGTGGTGGATAGGCGTGAAACAACCCAGCAGCACTGACAATGGCACGTGCTGTACATCTGCTCACAACTCCTGCCAGCAAACTGGGAACTGCCCATCCAGAGAGAGCCCACACTTGTACCTGTTCACTCTGAGTCATCCCAGCATTGTTGTACCTTCAGACATCAGGGATTCCAAGCTCTGAGTTGTAGGAAGAAGGCTTTCCCAATAAGCCAAGGGGCAAAGAAAACTCAGTTCTCTGGCTGTTCCTCCCTGACAGCACAGAGGGGATTTGCTAGAGTTCTTAGCTGTGCTTGGCAAGCAGAAATTTGGCATTTAAACCTGGACCCTGCCCAGCAGAGCCTGGGGGTTGAGGGGCTCAGAGTCACAGTCTGGTTTTTCCAGAGCGTGGTTAAAAGCCCTCTTGCCAGATTGGAGCCTAAATACCACAGAAGGCATAGAGATGGAGGACTTGGCTGTCCCTCCTTGTGCCCTTGTCCATCGTTCTGTGGGGCACAGTGGCCTGCAGGGGCTGGAGCCTGGGGCACTGTCTCGTTTCAGAAACACTGCGACAGGCAGAAGGCAAACCTGAGGATCCGCTTCAAGCCCTCGCTCTTCCAGCACGTGGGAACCCACTCCTCCTTGGCTGGGAAGATACAGAAGCTGAAGGTGGGTACCAGCTCTCAGTCCAAGGTACAGGTGGCCTGGCCTGCAGACACCCAGGAACTGGCTGCTTTTGGGTGGGGACATCTGTGACAGCAGCTGGTGGCAGCTGGATTTCTGTGAAGTGGTTGTGTTTTATTCTGAATTAGAGTGAGCTCAGGCAGCTCCTGCTCCTCAGAATGGCAGTGACATGCACCAAGAGTCACTGCAAGGTTTTAAGCCTTGGTACCAGTCCTGGCCACCCATCCTGAGTGCCAGGCCATGGTCCAGGCAAGTGACTTCGAAGAATCTACTAAAAAACCTTGGAGAGATGGCTCCTGGGTTGGTCTGACTTCCTTCCCACTCCACTTCATGTTCCTGGGATTTGGTGATAGGCAAATTAAAACTCACTGTATGAGAGCTGGAATTGTTGAGGTGTATTTAAACATGAACAAAATGCAGCTTCCCACAAGTACAAGTGCAGAATCCATGGACAGACATCCCTGGGCTGTGATGTCTGTGTGATCCCTGGGGAAATGGATGGTATAATCCAGTTTGTATCACAGTGCAGTGCTGTCAGGCCATGTAATCCAGTCATTTTATGGTATTGTCAGCCTCCCATCTGCTTTCTCCTCAAGTGTAAAGACTGTTTCCAGAGCTCCTGGGGCATGGACAGGCATTCAGGGACATTTGGACATTGAAAGGCTCCTTGGTGTGCTGGATCAGAGCACCGAGCAGGGATGTTTCTTTGAGCTGCCTCTCCTAAAGCAGTGTCCTGGGATCCAGTCACACATTCCCCTGCCTGGTGCCTTGCCAAAATTACTTCTATCTCTCATCCTTTCACAAAATTTTAATTTGCAGTGCCTTGTAGCTGGGGCCCTGGTTCCTCACGGGCCAGAGCAGCTCATGGCCCTTCTCTGCCCTTTTACTTTGTGCCCTTTCAAGGACAAGGACTTTGGAAAACATGCACTGCGGAAAGAGCACGTCAACCCTCCTGCTGAGGTGAGCACCAGCCTGAAAACCTACCAGCACTTCACCCTGGAGAAGGCTTACCTGCGGGAGGACTTCTTCTGGGCCTTCACTCCCACTGCCGGCGACTTCATCCGCTTCAGATTCTTCAAACCACTGCGAATTGAAAGGCCAGTGCTCGAGGGGTCAGCGGGGTGTGGGGACAGCCCAGAGCACGTGGAGAGACTTGACTTTCTCTCTTCTGGCAATTTAAATCAAATTTCTTGCCCATCTCCTGCTTGGCTGCCCAGGAGGAGGGAGCAGTGCTCTTCCAGGGGAGGATAATTTGAGCCTTTCTCAGTGGGGCCACCTTTGCCAGAGCCCTTTGCTTTCCTGCACTTGTGAGCACTCCATGGTTTAGCTGATTTGGCACAGAAGGTCTCCTGCCAAATCGTGCTGTGGGCTCTTTGGGAAGGTGCCTGTTAGGTTGAGCTGTTTGATGATTCAGGTGGGGTGAAAGCCATCGTGTGTCCCCTCACTGTGCCTTTCTGTGGGTTTTCTCTGCCACAGGTTCTTCTTCCGCAGCGGGAACATCGAGCACCCAGAGGACAAACTCTTCAACACGACCGTGGAGGTGCTGCCGTTTGACGTAAGTGTTTGATTGAGATTTGAGGTGAGGGTGGAGTGGGAAGCAAAAGAGCTTTTCCTGCTTAAAGCCATCAGGAAAATCTTAATGAGATTCGAGTGCCTCTTACAGGTGCTGGCAGGGAGCCAGAGGGTCATGCCTGGTGTGATGCCACCTCAGGAGCTGGGTGCTTTGCTGAGCACGGCTGTGTGAGCCATCCCTACCTGGGGATGCTCCAGTGGGTGGGATGAAGCCAGAATGGTGCAGTGGAAACAGCAGCAAATGTCCTCTTATTTTGGGCATGTGTCTCTGGGTGCCAGGTGTGGGATGAGATGCCAGGGTTTGCTGGCAAGGACAGCTCTGGGACTGCTGCTTTTCCTTGGGGATTTGGGTGACTCTTCCCTCTGGTCTGCACAAAACTCCTCTCCTTCTGCAGAGTCTACAGTCAGATAAGGAAGCCTTGCAGGAGGGAAGAGGCACAGCTGCCAAATACCGCAGGACAGCGGATGGCTACGTCCAGATAGGTACAGGGGGAGTGGGGTGGGAAAGGGCCTGCTGGCTTTGATAACACAGCCCATGTCCTCACCTGCATGCCAGTCAAGAACCTTAGAGCTGTTTGCTTGGCAGAGAGTAATTTCTGCTTGCCAGGAGCCGAGATTTATCATTGTCTCCTCTCCTCCACTGCCCTTGCTCTCAGGCCAGGTTGTCCCCCTCAGATTATTCTCAGTCCTGCATTTCTGCCAGTCCTGCTCAGAGCTGGGACCAAATGATGCTGATTATTTGTTTGCTTACCCTGGGGTTAAAAACCTCCACCATGGGCAGTTTTGCCATCTCTGTACTCACACCACTTGCAGGTCAGACCTTGTCTCTTGCCACCTGAGCTTGTTTTAGTGCTTGCCCTGCCCTTGGACAAGAACAAGCATTTGCAGCCTCCTGAGAGCTGCCAGTGCGTGATAGCCCTGGTGTCCCTGCTAAGATTTCATGTCATTTTTAATAGACAAATAAGAGAAAAATTTCCTGACACATGCAGTGTTTTGCCATTTTCTCATTCCTCTGCATGCTGGCTGGTTTCTCCCAGTTGCATTTTCAAAAACAAATAATCAAAACCAAAAAGCATGTCAGGCCTCTCTGTCCCCTTTTGCACAGCAATGATATGTTATTTGATATATATGATATTTGCAGATACTCCCAATACATTTTGTTTTGTTTGGAGAACACACCTGATTTGTGTTCTCCAGTGTGGCATTTTGCCCTGTATTCCATCCACACTGCTGGGTTTTAGCCCGTTTGGTGCTGGGGAGCTGCAGGCAGGGGCTGCTGGGGCTGTTGGTGGTGCCCTGGGGGAGAGGGGAGGTGGAGGGGCAATGCCAGAGGACCATCCCTGTGGCAGCCACGTGCTCTCCCCACCAGGCTCGTTCTCCAAGGGGGTCGCAGAGGGTGAGGTGGACCCATCTTTTGGGCCCCTGGAGGCCATCAGGCTGTCCATCCAGACCGACTCCCCGGTGTGGATCATCCTGAGCGAGGTAAGCTGAGCTCCCCCCGCACCTCCCCACCCCTGCCCTGCTCATCGCTCTGATCCCATCCCGCCCTTCTTTCAGATTTTTATCAAAAAAGCAGAGTGAACAGGCATGAGGCAGAAC